ACCTGCCTGAGTTTTGCTTTCTGCCCGTGCTGTACTCTGAGTGAGAATCTCGTCTGGTTAGCAAAACTGTTGCTGTGACTTTGGGCAGGACTTATGAGGCTGGTATAATGTTTTATGTAGATATTATATTGTGCATTTGTAAATCTCGAAGCGCTCCTCTCTGCTTGCGAGAAGTTGAGAAGACCCGCAAAGGTACTGGTACCGTGCTGGGCACCTCCACGCTAGCTCCAGACACGGTCCGCAACATGTTGCAGGGTGTCCCGGGTACCAGCGCCTGGGCTTGACGAAGTTTCGAGCACTGATGGCAGACGAGCAGTTGTACGATATGTCGAAGAAGGATGTCTGATCCACGCTCCTCCTGTTCGGAGGTTAGTGGTTAGTGGCACCAGTGACGGTGGTGTCGTAGTGTCTGTAGAGAGTGAGTACAGCAGGGGTGTTTATCATCTCTTCTGGAATCTGTCAGGAGATGAATCCCCAGACATGCCAGTCATCACTTATATTCCCTTAGCTATGTGACTGCGAAAAGCTCGTGTGCGGTTCCTTCGCGCGTTGTAGGTCCATGCAGAGTAGCACGGTCAGTTGCCTGGGCAACTTGACCAGTCAGCACAGCCAATGCATTCTCTGCAGGTTCTTCCTGGGCTGCTGTGGAATCTGGCTTCTGCAGGAAGCTATGAGCTTCCCGCTTAAAGTGTATATAGATGTCTCGCAACTTGCAGTTGCAGGGCTTTCGTTCTTCCGCTCTGACTTTTTTCCATCAACTCGCAGGACTTCTCAGCAAGAGTCAGCTCACGGCACCCGGGTGTACCACTCGCAGCGCCAGTGTGGGTCGTCAATACCATCTTTACTTTCACTGGTCGCACCCCTTCGATACAAAATTTCACCGCAAATTTAGTCAGTCGGCAAGCTACAATATGGCCATAGTATTTGTGCCGGGCGGCGAGCGGGATGTCGGCGCGCAATGCGCAACTTTCAGCACCGTTACGTCGAATTTTTTCTGCAATGTCCAAACTGCAGACTTTGGGTTGCAATTCGCTACACGGTGGTCATGCCTGCAAAAAGCAGCAGATGTCTCTTGCATCGGATCATGGCTGCAATGGTTTGACATGAGTCCGTACGGTACCATCTGCATCCCGCTTTGCTCGTTTGTCTGCAACCGTGACCTCGACCTCCATTCCAACAAGCCGGAAATGTGGCCCTTTTGCTGACCAGGCCACGCTGACAAATTCAAGATGATTATCCGGCAAAAATACGTGACAGCACACGCCTGTCTTAGACGCGCCCGCTCGTGCAGCTTCAGGAATCTTCTTCCAGGCTTATCCAGACACAGGCGAGCACCATCACGCGACTTCACTATGAGCTTCTCCAGCTGCGGAATGGAGCTACTTCGCAATACCTACACGTCTGCCAAACACAGGCGACCCGCGCTAGTTAGTCAAGAGATTCCCTTTGCTCTACAGGCTGTTGTGAATGTGGTCTGGGCACTAGAATCACTAGAATTCGTTCACCCACTCCCCACTTTGACGATGTCGCTATTGGTTGATATTGGTTGCTTTCTGCTGAGCTTTTTGATTTTGCCTCCCGAGCGAGGGAACGAGCCCGATGAATCAAGACAATGGTAAATGATTGCACAAGGCTGCTTGGAAAGACCGACGAAACTACCAGATCCAGCATTGAAGAACGGAATGACGTTTGCCAACAGCACACCAAATGCAGCATAGTAGCAGGTCAGGGCACGAATCAAGCGGCGGTGTGAGGTAATTGCTTGAATTGTCGACAGGACGCAATGGGGAACCAGCCACGCTTGATTTCGGGCTTGCGCTTGTGCGGTGTTGGAATAAAACCTTGACATGGGGTTGGTGAGCGTTGATAGCCGGAGCAAGCCTACAACGAAAAGGTTGAAGCGGCGAGGCTGAATGGTTCGCAGGGTTGTCAGGCTTGCAATTTTGTTTGCTCGTAGGGTTGTCGGAACCCTTGTCTTGAAAGTATGGCAGCGATTGATGCTTGCGATTACAAGATCTGGAAGCCAGACTTGCCCGGTATCACCTGCGAAATTGCAGCGAAAACTTAGCAGGTTGGGTGTCGAGATGTGGATCAGAAGTTTAGGGCGTATAGAGCTTGATGCTTTGATTTTCTTTCGATTGTCAGGTTCTTACATCGTTTTCCAGTAGGATCAAGCTTCGAGCATCCTCGCCATCATTTTCATCTGTGCGGGCAGGGGTAGGAGGCTTTAGTGCGAAGAACTGCCGGGGCATTGCAAAGATGGCCAACACGGTCGAAAGTCACAAGGATGGCGAAGCGGACAATCACCATCCCTACGACTTTTTGCAAACTTGTTGGATGCCTGAGCTGGCCCTTGCATGTGGGGGACTTGACGGTGCGAAACGGAGCCATATTAGTCCTCTAGTTGGTATAGGTGTTGTCCACTAAGTCCGCACAATAAGCGTGTTTATTTTGCTGTCGCTTCTGCTCATGGTAGCCCTGCCGCTGCGGGCCTGCAAGCACTAAAGTCGTAAGCACAGAACACGACAAAAGCCTTTCTTATGTACTGGTGGTCTGGTGTGCCGGGTCTCATGGCTAAGAGACTGAGGCTGCTGCTACGTCGTCGGTCTTGCAGCTGCCACTGGGGGTTTGGGATTTTGCGGCGAGGACAGTGAAGGACTCGACGGACAGGTCATGGACGGCACTGCCTACTGTGTCGCTTGAACTTCAAGGAAGGCATCCTTGAGCCTCCGAAGCGGAAGGCTCCATAGTGGACTAACCCATTTCCAGGATCCGGAATGGGGAGCATTGTCCCATTTCGACAGCGCTTCGGCCTTCGCCACGATGGTTGCTTGGCCGACATCGGACCATCGCATTGAAGGGGGTCTTTGCTCAACAGATGTACAAAGAGACGAAGGAAGGGGTGCTGATGTCTGCTGTGAAGTTGGTGTGTAGATGCAAGTGGTGTTGGCAGGCTGTTCGACCTTCATGCGTGACTGCTGCTGCTGGCTTTGGTGTAGCTGGGCTTACTTATGTACTGACCATGGTGACTTTTCAACAGGGACATACAGGGACTGTCGGACAGAGCAAGGAACTCCACCTCGTGTAGCAGCGTTCGAAGTACGTAGGAGCTTAGTGGGGTCAGTACGCGAGATTTCTGTAGTTTGTTTCGTACCAACGCAAGACAGCAAAACACGGCATGGGGCTCCCATACTAGCATCTCATGGCTTACGTTCGGGATGATGATCCAAGATATCCTTTGCAGTCATTTCTGGTGTGGCAGCGGAGCTCCTAGAGCTTTCCGTTGCATCCTCCTTTGAAGTCATGCCCGACACCTGGCACAGCAAGCTTGAAGCTTTGCTCTGCGCCTCCATTGGATCCCTACCAGATGCAGTAACAGGCTTGAGCCAAAAAGGTACAGAAAGTCACCTTAGGTTTCGGTTTTTTGACGGCAATTGTCAGGAACTGTTAGCAGGAGTTACACGTATTTTGGTTGAAGGAACCGTGGCGGTTCTCTCCTCGTCTGGCCGATTCTTCTGATTTCACGTTTACAATTGCCATGTGAACGCCTTCGGGCATGCGAGTCAAGTGCCGGATCATGTCAAATCGTAACATGTAAGAGTTTTCCGTGACAGTTTCCGGCAGCCTCCGCGTCTCGGGGGTAAATAGCCGATGCAGAATCAAACTGAGAGCAGCACGCAAATCACCTGTCGAGTGGCTGATGCGACCTCCAGTTTGCTTTGATTGTTTTTCCGGCTCAGGTTGACTGCAAGTCGGAGTATGTCGGAGTGTGCATCGTTGACATGTTGCTTCTTGGGACAGTGCTTTGCCGTTGTCTCAGCAGGCCTGCCGTGCCAAGCCACACGGGAGTATCGCCAAGTGGCCGACACTCTGGCAAACTGGCCTCTGCAAACCTCAAATCCCGCACCAGCGACGCTTGACTGCATTTTGATTCTTCGACTAACTGCGTCTTGCCTATGTATGCACTGTTCGGCCGTGGGCATGCAAACGACTCGTTCCGTTCCTTATCAGCCTTGACACATGATTGGGCACATCCCGTCAGGAGTTCGTACAGGGAGCCTGTCATGTCAGAGCTGTCCAAGATTCACGTTCTAGCTCTGTAGGAAAATTTAGGCCAGAGCATGAACGGCGGCAGTAGAAGACAGAAGTTCATCCTTGTGCGACCTAGGGGGGCCATGGTGGTCGGGCAGCCAGTGGCAGTTGCCGAGCACGCACATCAGCTGCAGCTTTGGGTTGTTCAGAGGGCTTCTGGCCAGAGCGAATTCAGACTCAGAAGAGAGCCGCTTGTGACGTACCGTCGATGCGGGCTCATGGAAATGCAGCAAGCCCGTGACAACAGAAAGATGCAGGCAAGATATTCACGAAGGTTGTGCTGCACTTGGCAGTAAACTCGGCAGTTGACGCTTCGAGGGCCGCTGTGGGACAAAATCTAGCGAACACCACCGTCCCAATCTTGCTCAACTGTTCTCAACTGCTAAACTCTGACCCTGACTTCAGCCCACCTATGCCCACCTCGTCACGGGCGCCTTTGACGGCATAATCTGGCATAGCTGAGAACGCGTTGCCGCAGCTCAGGTGCCCGGCCAGCCTGTCGCGGCATACAGTAGTGCGCCGAAGGCTTTCTGAGCCGGCAGGAATTCCGTGCAAAGCAAATTTTAATGCCAGGCAGCCAGCTATCTACCTGTGTTTCACGGACTGCTCGTTGGGTCGCCCAGCCTGTGAGGGTGAAAAACCCGATCTGTGCAGGACCATCGACCGGTCCAGGTCTGCGGTACTCTGAGCCAAAGAGCCAGAAGAGAGATCTCAGCCTTCGCAAACTTGGCTATGCTTGAGAACTACGGGACGCCCTTCGAAAAAGTGTTCGCACTTGGTGCGACAGGTCGTTTCGCAAAAGGCCCAAGTATTCACACCTCGAAGAGCCTTCCCCATCCAACAGTTTCCTATACATGTCCGGAAGCGGCTAGATGTTTCTCAACACATGAGCACAGATTCTGCCGGAGGTCGCCAAGACTCTGCCGGGGCCAGAGTTTGCTCGTGGTCGCACGCTGCTCTCGGCAGCAAACCTCGTGCAGTAGAGCGCTTGTCTTCCAGATACGGCGTCTGACCGAAGCAGGGCTAGAGCATCGTATAGTCCTTGACTTGAGATTTCTTGAGATGAACGCGCAGTCCTTTTGTCAGCGAGCAGGTACACAGCAGTTGTGCAGTTGGAGTAGTGAACTGTAGGAGGAGCTTCGTGTTGGACTTGTCACCGACAGGTTCCAGTTCCTTGCAGACAAGAGAAGCTGGTTCCTGAAAGATCCCGATGCCGACGTCGGTGGCTGGGAGGACCGTCTTCGTCTCTGAACCTTACCCACGGTTGGAGGCTGCCGTGAGCTGGTCCCAGAATAGCATTCGCGAGCAGCCCTTTGGCCAAAGCAGGATGGCCTGCATAGACAGACTATAGTTTAGTTTCACTGAATCACCTCGTGGCCTGTCATGATGCGATCTTGGAAAGACGAACGGGTTCATGTCGGAGGATCTGCCCGTGGAAAGTGTCGACTAGCAGCTCGTTCGTGGGCAGGAGGCTTGGAGAACCTTTCACTTGCGATAAGCCCCTCATTAACTTTGACAGGCTGCTAACAGGCTCTAGCCAGCACAGTGGTGCAGAACGCCGGACCCGAGATCCCAGACCTCGCTGCACTCTTTCCGTTGTTTTGAGGCCTGCGATGAAAACCTGATTCAGCGCGAATCCAAAGCAGTGAGGCTTGATTCGTCGCCAAAGGCGTTCCAATCACACCTGCTGTGCGCAATTGTGTGCTGTGTGTTCGCGGGAAGTGCTTTCCCCTGTTGCGCCACAGCGGCAACACCTGGGGTTGCAGCTCCTTGGAGGCACGACGAGCATCATGTCTTGCAGCCCGCACAACATGCATCGGAGCTACGACTTCCCTGCTAGCACGTTTCACCTTCATATCAGCCAGGTGCGGTGTGGAAGAAGATGTGGAACCGAACATAACCGAAGCACAGATTAAGTAATGTCTTAAGAATTGACCTGGTATTGATTTGGTTTGCGGTGTGTAGTCCCACGAGTCGTCTTGCACATATGCATACCCAACTGTGCATTTTATCCAATAAACTCTGCACAGCATGCACGCGTCTTCAAGGGAGGGTGGGTTTCCACGATGTGCAAGGAAAGATCAGGGTCTGAGATCACTGTCGAGGTCTGCAGCTTCCTGTCAGAGCTCAGAACGAAATCGTCTCCTGCCTCGAGTGCGCGATGTAGCGAGCCTCCTGCAAGCAAAAGCCGCAGCAGCACTGCGTACAGACCACTAAGTGAATAGACAAAACTGCCGTATGCGCAGCCGGTAACCGACAGCAACCTAACAAAAACTATCTGTTAGATGCTGTACACGACGATCGCATGATGCAGTCTGAAATGTTGCAGTCGCAATCTAGCGAGGTGATAATTCCAACAGACTGGAACACTCGCCAACCGGCAAGCAGACTACCAGCCCGTGCAGCTAGATCAACCCGTGAGTCAAGTCAATGTGAAAGTCAGCGAAACGAAGACGAAGCAGCAACTTAGAACTTGTTGCTCGCAGCCCCCGCAGCCCCAGCATACATGTCACTCTGCGAGTGACTGCCATGGCCTTCCGCCGTCATTCCCCGGCGGTGATACTTCTGGCGCTGCCGGGCTCAACACGGGCACCATGAACTTTCCATAGCTCAACACCGCCGTTCGCCAAACTGCCAAACTTGCGCTATGCCGAGTCCTTGCTGGCTTTAGCTAGCCATGACGTCAGCAGCCACGCATGGCAAGGGAGATCAAGCTTCCACACCTCTTCATCGTCCTGCACCTCGGCGTACGACGTACGAAGCATTCCGAGCTGAGGCCTGGATTCGCCGCTGAGCTGGACTGCTGGACAGATGGCATCACTCGTGGCCAGCACAGTCCTCACTTAGTTTTTGCAAAAAGTGTCAGGGGATTCTCGCCGACACGTTGGGTTTCACTCGTTTCATCGTTCTACCCAGGTGCTGCAATGCCATCTTCGGCCCAGGGGGGAACTCCCATTGCAGCTCCTCCGCACTGTGCGTTTTTGCTGCCAGCCAGGGACAGCTAGGATTGGACCGGTCAATCAGCAGAGCTCCGCAGTAGAGCTCGGCATTTCAAAAGTCAGAGAAGCAGAATTTGCGAAACGTTCGGCGATGGCCGACTTGAGGCTGGGATGGAGCGAGCTTCACATTTGAGAGCTGCTGTGGGGAGCTGCATGTCAGAAAGGTGACGGTGCTTGCTTTCCAGGAAGAATTTCATGTGCTCTTCCATCTCTGCAGTGTCGGTGGACATCTTGGTGTGTTAGCTTGGTACTGACCAGGCCCTTGCTCTACAGAGAGAGATCCGCATACTACAACCGTGGCGGCAGGTTCCTGCCATGCTTGGGTAGTAACAATGGAAACCAGTCTAGCGGACCCGTTAGGCACACGTTGTAATGCGTTGCGGCCTGCTGGCAAGACACAGTCGAACGATCTTGCTGCACAAAGCAGCCAAGGTTTTACGAGCCGCGGGACTGCACTGCTTTCGTCACCCACTTCAGCTTCAGCGTCGTGGGCAACTTTGGAATCTTGGCATCAGCTGGCAAACCCTTCACTTGAGAGCGGTTCAAAAGGGTGTTGAACCGAAGCCCAAGGATGGTCGCAGCCTGCAAGCGCCGGCGAGGCTACAGCCGTTGTTCCGTGGCTTTCGAGCGCCTTTCTGGGTAGTTGTCTCTCATGCAGGCAGGTGATTTTCCTTGAATCTCGAGTCACCTGGCTCACATGTCGACTCGTCGCCATTCTGCTGCTGCTCACCGTTGCCAACGTGGAGAGAGCGACCTGAATGGTTGAATCGAGGAATCTAAGCCGACAGCTCGTTCGAAAGGCTTGGGTCCTAGGTCGATGTGGGCATTCGTCTTGAGTCCTAACGCAACGATTTTCTGCAGAGAAGCAGGGAAGTGGGGAGGCCTGGGCTCGATGCGCTCGTGCAATGGACCTGGAGGCAGAGAGGTGCCTTAGCCTCTAATCTGCGGCGTACGTGCATGCAGCGTGTCATCCAACCTCGATGTTGAGTGCAGAACAAGAACACATGGTCTATCATGGTCTTGCCAAGGCCTGCGATCCTCGAAGGGAGGGCTGTTGTGACAGACATGTCTAAAAACGACAAATCTCGCGCCGGGCTCCAGATAGCCGACCGCATGATGGAAGCGACAAGATCGGCTAGAGTCGAATTGAATCACCAGATGCTTGTAGGCAAGCTATGGCAAGCTGATACCCCACTTTGTATGAAAGACAAGACATGACTAGACTCTGACTGACACAGCAGAACATGCCCATATGAAATCAAGTGCCTACGCAGCCATGAGATTTCCGATGCTGTAATGGGCTCGCTGCTGGTGATACGCATTCTGCTTTTTCTTGCTGCAGCAGCTGCAGATTGCTTTCACAAGGAAGCCAAGTGCAAGAAGGTGTTTGGGGAGTTCTGCGATTTGCGGTCCGTATGTTTCGGGAGATTCATAAGTACAACGCCAAATGTTGCTACGCTGGAAGCAACGGTCATGACAGCACGCCTGCATGGAAAGAGAGAGCAGCAGCAAACATCTGCCAGAGGCACCACACTGCACGTGATCTCTTCGAGTCTAGCTAGTGGCCACTGTAGCCAAAGGACCATGACGAGGAACTGCGACTGATCAGATGCTCAGACGCACTAAGCAGGAGGCGTTCTATTTTGCCATCATCATGTTTACTGTTTCGACGGGACACGGAGATGCTCTTTGACTGAGATGTAAACGGGGAGAACTTCGCTTTCCCCTTGGCATATGGCTCGTGGAGTTCTGCAGGCAGGTTGCAGTCATGCTTTCAATCCCGTGTCGTAGACCGTGCACGAACAGAATACACACGGCGCGCCCCGAAGATAGGCATGAGTGTTGGTTCCTGCTTTCAAGCGCATGTCGGAAAAATGCGTGTAGCCGGAGCATGGCACTCTACAAAGCTGCTTCCCAGGGCCCGTCGCTCGCATCATTCAAATCATCCTGGAGGAGGAGCTGTCACTGGTCTCACACAGAAGACTCCAAGAGAGTATGAGCAAGAGCTCGGTAGCATAGCAACGACAGCCACAGTCCTTTTTGCGACGCTTTTCGTTCGCCTGCATTCGGGCAGAGCAGCATCACCAGGATCAAGAATTTCCTCGCTAATCTTCTACTTGTGTCTTATGTTGCATGGCCCGATCCGTGTCCCGGGTGGGCTCTGGTCGACCGACTGGTAAGATATGCACGGGCGCGGAAAGTCTGGAAACGGAGGCGGCCGAGTCAGGACCAGAGTCGGAAAAATGGAAACGGAAAATCAGAAAAAGACATGGCAGGGTCAAGGGAGCCTTGCGATCATGCAGCATCGCTTAGGGATTGGCGCGGTTCGGGGTCGGGAGAAAGTCGAGTCTTGTGGAGCTTTGAAGGCACTTTTTGCATGTGCGATTTCAGTCGTATGACATACGACCGGAACAGGGAATACGTTGAGCGAGTCGCTCCTTTGCATGATCCTTTGTTGACTGACTCGGGCAGTTACTCTTGTTGTGGTAGAGGCTTTTCGCAAGACTCACTCCCATTACGGTTTTGAGGAAGCTGTCCTTGGCTATAGGGTTGTCGGATTGCAGCACGCACTTCGTTTGCAGCAGGTTTCTGTAAATTGTGAATGAGGGACGGGGGTTTTCGGGAACCACTCACTCTTTTTCAAGTTTTGAGATTCTGTAAGTGAGCCACTCCTTACTGGGCGGCTTCTGCACAACCACTCAGTCCTTTTCGGGTTTTCGGTTTCGGAAGCAGTTCCTTCTTTCGGGGTCTGCTAGCCTTGCATCGCGAAAACGTCGATTTGTCCTGACTCCTTCTTTGCATTTTCCACTGCTTCCATCTTTCCGCCTCTGTATGCACAGCTGCAGGATGTTACACCTAGGTCCAGTTTGCGTCACATCCTAAAGGGATGGTGGGGGGGGGCCCACTGAGACTGTGATCATTTGAGGCGCATCGCCGTGCAAATGAATCAGTTTCGGTCCAGCACGGACCTCCTCAAGCAAACGCCGCTTGAGCTGCATGAAGGCCTCCGCTGACTTGACTGGAGGGCTGTAAGCTTCGAGCTTCACTCAGCACGGTCGCGGTCGACAGCTAAGGCTGGGCTGCACAGATGCGCAGGGAAATGCGCGAAGCGCCCAGGCCATTTTACTAGCCTCTCCGAATCCCTCGCCATCCCTTGCATGCATGATGTTCTCACGTGACTTGGCTCGAAGTTTGCAACGCCAAAGAGTCTGCAGCTCCAACTCAGATACAACTCATGCCAGGGGGCAGTCTTGGAGCCAATTCCGAGCTATCCCAGCACATTCGAACTTGACAGGATCTCTGCGAGTGGGGCAACCAGGAGCCGTTGGGGGAAATAGAGTAGTTATCACGAGCTACTGTAACTGCTCTCTCCCACGAAGATTGGGTTTGTGATGGTTTGTTGTTGCTTGATTGTGCTTGTTTCGTCTTTGGCTTACACCCGGGAACGAAACATCCGCAGCAAAAAAGTGAACCCCCGGCCCAAGGAGTGGTAATGGTAGTAGTAGTAGTAGTCGTCGTCGCCGCCGCCGTCGTAGTCGTAGTCGTGATAAGGATTCCGCACAGGATAGAACCAAACGACTTGGGATTTAAGTGGGGCCCGATCTGTCCCCACAACGAACGAAAATGAAAACAGTTAATCAACCATAGCTGGGATTTCGTCACTTCCCCCATTCATTAAGCACTCCCTCATTATTGAAAACGCTTTTCGGAAACCCCCCTGACACCGTGACAGCTTTTAGATCCGAAGCGGGAACAAGAAGCAACAGCAGGAGTAAGAGCAACAGCAAGAGCATCAAGAGCAGGCGCGAGAGACGCGTAAAAGCCACGCAGGGGCAAGATCTAGTGCAGTAGCTTTTTGGGCATTATTGCAATCGGCCTCACGAGCCTTCTGCGAGTCAAACTGGACCAATCTTCGCTGGTATCAGCGTGCAAGCTGAAAGGGGTGGAAACGGAAAAAGAGGAAACAAGCTGTTATTGGGACATCAATGGCCGGGGGTTATGCCATCCCAGCATGGAACTATGGAAGCAAGGGGCTTCATCTTAACGGCACGGTCTACAACTTCAAAATCCAAGCCAAAAGCTTATCATGATAACGAAACTGCCTCGAACACGAGAGCCCGGACTGATTTCCGAACCCAAATGACTTCATGTGCCTAAAGCCGACTATGTGATCAGCATTGACGTGATGCTTGTCGATGATTTGAAGAAACACATCCTAGAGCAGTAGCAAGACCAAGATCCCGTTAAAGTGACAGTCGAGATAAACATACACCCTAGTGCTAAACAAAGAGTTTCCGAGTTGTTGTTGTTGGGGGGAGGGGTAGGGGCGTTTTGATATGTTAAATTTCTTGTGGCCGGGGTTTTGGGAGAGTTGCGCGCAAGAGACATCGATAAGTGTTCGGGGGGTGGTTCGTTTTCGCAAAAGTGTTCCGAGCAGCGCCGGCCGTCTCAACCCTAAAATCCTGAACCCGAAACCGTCACCTGTGTCACAGACATTAATCTCAAGACCCATTAAGCACGATGGTGGCATTGGAGTTGGTGCAGATGGGGCCGGGAATCCAGGAGGGACGGGATAGGGACTGGTTGTTTCGGAGTTTTTTGTCAACTTCGAGCTCTAAACCCAAACCCCATAAACCCTTGAACCATGAACACTTAAACCCAAACCCGTTAACTCCCAAACCGGCCCAAACCTGCCAAAAACCACTGGAACTAGATTCTACCTAGACCTCGGGAGTCGCAAGGATGGTGATGCTACAACTGTGTTGCGACCTTTCTAAATCATGAAACCTTAGTTCTAGTTCTACTCCTACAACTGCTACTACTAGTACTACTGCTGTTACTGCAACTACTACGACCACTACTACTAGTACTAGTACTAGTACTACTACTACTACTACTACTACTACGACTACTACGACTCCTACTTCTACTGCTACTACTACTACTACTACTAGTACTACTACTACTACTACTACTACTGCTACTACTACTACTACTACTCCTACTCCTTCTACTACTACTACTACTACTACTACTACTACTACTACTACTACTACTACTACTACTATTACTACTACTAGTACTTATACTGATAGTCCCACTACTATTACTACTACTACTACTACTACTACTACTACTACTACTACTACTACTACTACTAGTACTACTTTTCCTTTACCATTACTACGGCTAAAAATTCTACCATTACTGCTAATACTACTACTACTACTACTACCACTACTACTACCACGACGACGACTGCTACTACCACTACTACTACTACTACTACTACGACTGCTCCTGCTCCTGCTACTGCTGCTGATACTGCTAGTACTTTGTACTACTACTACTACTACAGCTACTTCTACTACTACTACTACTACTACTACTACTACTACTACTACTGTTACTGCTACTAGTACTATTATGTTCAACAGCAACTACTACTACTACTACTACTACTACTACTACTACTACTACTACCACTGCTACTATACTACGACTACTATCACCACTACTACTACTGCTACTGCTACTACTACTAGTATTACTTCTACTAGTACTAGTACTAGTACTACTACTACTACTTCTACTACTACTACTACTACTACTACTACTACTACTACTACTGGCCAGCCCCCCCCCCCGCCCCACCTACTACCTGGCGCCTAAACCCATCAGCATCATCATCATCATAGTTGTTGGTATTGGCCGACAACATCACGAAAGTACTGTAACTACCGCGTACAATATGGATGTGCTCTTCAAGAGTACGTCATCATGCCCCCCCCCACCACCACCCCCCCTCCCCTCAACAACGGTGGTTGGTATTGGTTTACGACATCACGAAAATACTGGAAATACCGAGTGAATGGATGTGCTCGTAAACAGTGTTCAGGAGGTAGTTGGTAGGGGGGGCGCCTACTACTATTACTACTACTACTGCTGCTACTACTGCTACTACTACTACTGGTACGACTATGACCACTACTACCACTATGACTACTACTACCACTATCACTTCTACTCTTATTACTCCTACTATTACTACTACTACTACTACTACTACTACTACTACTACTACTACTACTACTACTACTACCACTATTACCACTACTACTACTACTACTACTACTACTACTATTACTGCTACTACCAAAACTACTGCCACTACTACTAGCCTACCACTGATACTAGTACGTTTGTTGCAGAAGCAAAGGACGACAAAGGGTTCGTCGCCAGTGACAAAGCTTTGTCGATTTCGACACAACTGTGCCGATGTCGAAAATACTTTGTCGATTTTGTCTTTGGCGACAAACCCTTTCTCGGTTTTGTCTCTGGCGACAAACCCTTTGTCGATTACAAAGTTTTGCCGAAATCGACAAAGTTTCGTCGACATCGACAAACGTTGTCGACATCGACACAGTTTCGTCGAGATCGCCAAAGTTTCGTCGAAATCGCCAAAATTTCGTCAAAGTCGACAAAGTTCTGTCGAAATCGACAAAGTTTTGTCGAAATTGACAAACTTGTCGAAATCGACAAAATTTTGTCGAAATCGACAAAGTTTTGTTGGAATCGACAAAGTTTTGTAGAAATCGACAAACTTTGTCGAAATCGGCAAGTTTTGTCGAAATCGACAAAGTTTTGTCGAAATCGACAAAGTTGCGTCGAAATCGACAAAGTTTTGTCGAAATCGACAAAGTTTAGGCGCCAGAGACAAAGTTTGCCGCAAGAGACAACATGTAATGAAAAAATAAGTGTTCCGTGTGTCTTTTTTTGTCTTTGGGAAGTGTTCTGTTGTCTTTTGTGTTTTTGTTTCCGGAACTTTGTCGATTTTGTCTCTGGCGCCTGAACTTTGTCGATTTCGACGAAATTCGACGAAACTTTGTCGATGTCGACAAAACTTTGTCGATTTCGACAAAGTTTGTCGATTTCGACAAAACTTTGTCGATGTCGACAAACTTTGTTGCTTTCGACGCAGCTTTGTCGATTTCGACAATACTTTGTCGATTTTGTCTCTGGCGGCAAGCCCTTTTTCGATTTTGTTGTCGGTTTTGTCCCCAGCGACAAAACTTTGTCATTTTGTTTCTGGCGACAACCCCGTTATCAATTTTGTCGCTGGTGACGAATACTTTCACGTTTTTGTTGTCAGCAACAAAGAGCAGACTTTGGTGACCTTGTTCCTTGGTGACGTCTCTACTACTGCTACTTTAACTAACACTACTTTACTGCTCTTACTACTACAGATATTATACTAATACACTACTACCACTACTACTACTACTACTACTACTACTACTACTACTACTACTACTGCTACTACTACTACTACTACTACTGCTACTGCTACTGCTAGTGCTACTGCTACTGCTAGTGCTACTGCTACTGCTACTGCTACTGCTACTGGTAGTGCTACTGCTACTGCTACTGCTGCTGCTGCTGCTGCTACTGCTACTGCTAGTGCTACTGCTGCTGCTGCTGCTACTGCTACTGCTACTGCTACTACTACTACTACTACTACTACTAATACTAATACTACTGCTACTACTACTGCTTCTACTACCACTACTAGTACTACGGCTGTTACTGCTGCCAGAACAACTGCTGCCAGATTTGCTACCAAACCACCAGGCAAGCCCCTCCTAAACCTTAAACCCTAATACTCCAAACCCTAAACCTTAAACACAAACTCTAAGCCTAAAGCTTAAACCCTGAACCTTACTTTAAACTTCTACTACTACTACTACTCCTACTCCTACTCCTACTCCTACTACTACTACTACTGCTGCTGATATTCCAACTACTATTACGACTACTACTACTACTACTACTACTACTACTACTACTACTCCTACTACTACTACTACTACTACTACTACTACTACTGCTGCTGTACTACTACTGCTACTACTTCTACTACTTCTACTATTTCTACCATTACCGCTACTACTACTACTACTACCAGTACTGCTACTACCACTACCACTACTACTACTACTACTACTACTACTACTAGTAGTACGACTACTACTACTACTACTACTTCTTCTACTACTGCCACTACTTCTACTACTGCTACTATTTCTACTACTATCACTACTACTACTACTACTACTACTACTACTACTACTACTACTACTACTACGCCGAATGCTGCGACTACTACTACTTCTACTACTTCTACTACTACTACTACTACTACTACTACAGCTACTTCTACTACTACCACTACTACTACTACTACTAATATTACTGTTGCTGCTACTAGTACTATTATGTTCAACAGCAACTACTACTACTACTACTACTGCTACTACTGCTACTACTACTACTACCACTGCTACTATACTACGACTACTATCACCACTACTACTACTGCTACTGCTACTACTACTAGTACTACTACTACTACTACTATTATTACTACTACTACTACTACTACTACTACTACTACTACTACTACCGCTACTACTGCTACGACGACGACTACTACTACCACTGCTACGACTACTACTACTACTACTACTACTACTACTACTACTACTACTACTACTACTACTGAGATCTGAAGTGACACGGAGGTTCATTGCTGAAGCACTTTAAGGATTTTACCGTTTATGGTTTTTGGGGAGCACGCCGCTGCCGCCACACGCCCCCCTGCCCCCACACTCTACTCTTGGTCGCCGGAACCAGCCACAATTGTTCAATAAGTGTTCTATGTGTCTGTCGGAATCTGGCCCCCACAAACAAAATCAGAACACTTCGAGCAACCGCCTGCGCAGCAACTCGGTCTCTGAACACTTGTCGCCCCCAGCGGGCAGCACCCGAAGAAATTTAACATTTTGATAGCAGGGCAAACTAGGGGGAAAGGGTTGACTTGCTATGACAAAGTTCAGCCGGGCTGTGTTGGCCAGTTCTGAGACGTTTCGATTAGTTCTGGCATGGATCTGTTCCGAGTCCCAAACGAGCGAAGTTGAAAAAATCACTCAAATTCTTATAGCAAAATCAGAGTGGAAAAGGAAACGTGGGATTCCTCGGAGTAGCAGACGCCTTGCCGCGTCATGCCCAAAGTTACAACATCAACCACCTCCGAATCGCAGGACCCACCACTGTTCTCATGGGCGGCCGTGGAAGTCTGGCCAACGACAGAGGAGAACAAGAGGTTAAGGCCCTGCCCTGCGTGCATAAAAAGTTGCTTGTCAATCACGGCAAGGCTGCTTTGCTGCTTTCGTTGCCATGAAAGTCTCCCTTACCATCGGCAGGCGCCTGTTGGGCACAGGGCATGCTATGGGCTACCAGACATTCCCCGGCCGCTGCCTCATCGGACGAGAAGTCTTGCACATGTTCAGATTTGATTGCATACCCGTTAATGTTAACGTGGGTACTTTTGTAATTCACCCTGGGTTCTGGCAGCATTGGCAACAAAGCATTGCCAGACATGTCTGGAAAATCCGCATTGCAAAGTTTCGAATCTGTGAAATTCAAGGTCAGGGTTGTCAAGGGCCACGTCGCTGCGTCCCGCCTGCATGCATCACCGAGGTCTGTACACCCAGAAGCACGTCGTAAAGGACGGGCTGGCCGGACAGGTGCCCCTTGCACGTGGCGATTGCCATCAACAGCTGCGAAGTTCCATAAGCCTTCCTGTGATATCTGTCATCCCTCGATGACACTCACCACTAACCTCTGTGAGGTTACATAGACGATTGTCAACCACGGGTCATGAAGCTGTCATGTCGCATATTCTTCAGACTCAAGACTATACCCTGAGACGACGTTGCTCCAACAGCTTGACACTCCAAGTCCTGCATCAGGTGCTTCTCCGCTGGTGGGACTCTTGGCTATGGCGGCTGTTGTGCCCCAAACTCTTCGGCCCTTTTTGAGACAACACAGTTACAGTACTTCTTACTGCAGCTTCCGATCCGATTCTTTTACCTGGGCGAAAACCGATGTGAAAGCACACGAAGTCGACGAGTGAATGTCAAGCTGCAGATCCAAGGAATCCTACTCACTGGGTGCGGAAAGGTTCTTTGACACCGTCGAGGCTGTTAGTAGGGCTATGCGGCCACTCCCCGCACTGCTGTTCAATCGAACTTACAGCATCAAGTACCAGTTACGCTCACGTCGCGCAGCATTCGGAGGCATGCTAGCAGACGGGGCTAAAATAGTTGATGCGCAACGCAGGAAGAGAGATGGAGACACGGGCTCACCTTGTGCGGGACTCCAATTAAACGACAGAGAGGAAGACATCCCGAAGACATCAAATTCAAAGCCCCATGCAGGAGCTTGGTGCGGCGATGGCAAATCTCAGACCCTTGTTCTGACAAGACATGTGCTCCTGTGACTCGTGTAATTTGCAGTGCAGCGTAGCATGCGCGAACCGTTCACAAGGCCCGCAGCGTATAAGGAAACTGGGGAAGTCGGAACCTCCGGCAGTGCTTGATTTTCCTAAGCGCTGTCCTCCTGCACTACTTACACACCCCAACATGTTCGTCAGTTTGAAGGTCCAGTTTCACTTCCCATTATTACGACTTCTCGGTCTGGTGTTGTACTACATTCCTAGATTCCATCGCTTCAAACGTGCAGTCTGATGCAGCGACACTGACACTACACAAACTGCTCTTGCAACCTCCTGTCAGAGGCAGAGGACTGCGTGTCAGCCTGCGTTTCGCGTAAGGTTTCGAGCACGAGAATTGCAATGGATTGTGTCCGCCGGGTACCGTCCGACCCATGTGCTGCTTGGCTTTACGAATTCCGACGGGTGGCTTTGGCTTTCGGAAGTTCAAGTCGCAGCCCAGGCAGGTCGAGGCCGAGTCGAGGCTTGAGGTTGAGGTTTCCACAGATCTCGATCTGTTCTGCGGCACAGAGCTAGAGATTAAAGTGCAGTGAGCCACCACTTCAAGGCGACCCGGAGAACGCAGCTGCACAGCGGGAGATGGAGCTTCTAGGCGACCTGGGCCAGCAATGCTCGACGCACGGCCGGAGCCCTCCATCCACAAAGCCGATTCTCGCGAGAGCGAGAATCTACCAGCTAAGGCGTTCTCCTATTATCGGCTAGGTAGGTCTGGAATAGGAGGGTCACACTACGGCATGAGATCAGCATGCTCTTTTGACTTTTGATCACCACGTTGATCCGTGGCCATTTTGGGTCGAGACGATCGTCTCGATCCGCGAAGGATCTTTTTGTCGATCAGGTGAGGTCTAGGGCCTGGGTAGCTTTCGCTCGAGCTATGGCTGGTTGGGGTCAAGACGCCTGGGGTCAGCAGCAGGCTGATCAGCCTCAGCCCTATGCTGGTTACCCTAATCAACCTAGGGGCCAGTGGGGAGGTCAGAACCAGCACGATCGCAGAGAGAGGCGCCAACGCCGCGATCGTGGTGGCGATCGCTTCCCAAATGCTGCTCACAACCCCTACGAGGTTCGTCTCCCCCCGCACATTGAGTCGATCGCTACCTGTGAGGATGACGATCGCAAGACCTCGATCATCATGGTCGACAACAGAGACGACAGGATCGTCTCGCCTTTTCAGGCATGGCTGGTCCGGGAGATCATGACGAACGCCTCCTCCTCGACGAACGTCTTGACGGAGAGAGATCAAGTCATGACTCCCAGTTCTGGGTACCACATGTCGCTCTTTGCCAACTACACTCTGGATGGCATAAAAGCGACACTGGCGATCTCAGTGGACTCCACGACAGGAGTTCCCTGCGGAGACTGGTCTGCTCAGACCGCCAAGGCACTCGCCCACGAGGCTTTTCAGCCTTTCTCGTGGCCGGTGCTCAGGGACACGTCGCCATCGTACACCGATATCAAGGTGTACAATGGCAATGAGATCCTCTTTCACTGGATCCTGAGGGGATACCGTGCCGACTCGGATCTGTCGGTTCAGCAGCAGTTCGCTGATGAGCTGCTGATCCGCGACGTCTGCCGTGGTCGGGTGCGGCTCTCAGTCGTGGTGGCCGCTTTCACCGGTTGGAAGTGCTCCGTCTTCTCTTTCGAGTGTGGCGGTCGCACATACTCTGTGGGCCCTCAGGGCGTGGTCGTGGCTGGAGATCATGCCCGCTCGAGGTTTGAGCTCCGAGTGTGCAGCCGCTCTTCAGAGGATGCGGTCGGAAATGACGCCGATCGGCTGGAGTTCCGCTATCGGGATGCCAACAATCGCATGGACTTGAAGTGCGCTCGCACTTCGGTCCCGGCTACGTGGTTGACGGTCTCCCACATCAGCGGGCCTACGCTCATTCAGGCCATCACCCGGTGCCGTGATCAGCGGGCACGGGTGGAAGGGCCTGAACAGACTGAGCAGTTCGCTCAGCTGGCGGCCGCTCACCAAAACTGGTGGCACAACGCTCTCACCACGGACTACGACCATATCGGCGTGCTGGTCTCGTTCGTGGGCGGCCTTGATCATGGCAACTTCCACGTTCAGTGCGAGAGCAAGCTCTACGTGATGCAGGGGGCCGTGGTCTCTAGGGCGGCGCTCGCCGAGATGACCCACACTCAGGAGTCGGCCTCTCCGCTGCCGTTCGGCCCGCCCGCTCTTTCTCAAGGGGCTTGGCGGCAGGCAGCGGTCAGCTCTGACACGGCCGTGCCGGAGACTTCGGAGATTGCCGCTCGCAATCGCAATCGCGCGGAGATGGAATCCCGGGCGCTCGCCCCCGAAGATCGACCACCTGCTCAGCCGGTGGACTACGATCAGAACGATGAGGAGGGCACCCGTGGGCACATGATCGATGCTGCCAGGGACGATGCTCGGCAAGATCGTTCCTTTGCCCGCTCGACGGCAAAGCTCACACCAGCGCAGTTCGCCGAGCTGGCTGACTCGTACCACAACCCTGCTGGTCACGCTACCTCTTCGGCGGCAGCTCAGTTTTCCACGGTCGTGGTTGAAGAGGCCGAGCCGGAGAACTTGCTGGCTCCAGCAGGTGAGCCGACCTCGTTCAGGCCGCACCGGACGCCATGATCCAGGCAGATCTCAGAGGTGCTCACCCGTTTTGATCCAAGCTAGGGTGTTCACCCCAGGATGCCGTGAAGGCGATTTAAGTTCTCGCTCCCATTTTGGAGCCACGACTGCTCCCGCTCGGGCAAAAGTTTCCAGGGATGCATCCGGATGCGATCAGCAGTTCTGCACATGTTTTCACTGTTGATGTCTGTCTCTCTCTCTCTCTCTCTCTCTCTCTCTCTCTCTCTCTCTCTCCCTTTTCTCAGTGCAACATGTTCACAGTGCTCGGCATTCATGTCGTTCGTCGTTCGTCGTGCCGTTCGGTTGGCCGGGAAGGTTGGTCGGGGCACTGCAACGACGATGCTCATGATGCCTTCCTCGAGTTTCTTCTTTCGCTAGTTTTGGCTCGGCAGGATGTTGCGGGAAGCAGCGCCAGCCGATCGCTGGACAGCGAAGATCCTTGCTTACCCATGTTTCGACCCTGGGTTTCGCCAGGCGATCGTGGCGACCCGGCTGGCAGAGATCCCTTTTGTCCTTTCAATGGACGCCGGGACGCCTGAGCAGTTCGCCGCGGTGTCTCTCGACTGGACGGCCAGCTCGGCCAAGACGGAGCACGACCTCCTGGCTCCGAGGACCCAAATGCTCGAACAGTACTGGGTCTTCGTGAAGGCCGCGGAATCGCTCTTTGTCGAGTCTCTCGGCTACCAGATGGGCTTTGCTCGCTGCTCGAAGGTGCCCCGAGAACGTTCTGCAAAGTCGATCGCACACTTTCAACGGGAGATGGCCATCCGAGCTCTAGCTGCACCAGTTCTGGCTCCTTCGGCTAAATCGAGGCTGCCGGCAAGCTCTTCTTCTCCCTCGGCAACTCCATTGCTCGACTTGGAGAACGCCGAGAAACAGAAATGGGCTAAGCGCTTGAAGGCGATCGCTGATCGGGCCGGCGAACACGCTCGGCCCGAAGGGGTCCACGATGCTGAGGGGATCCTCTCGGAAGAGGAACGCGCTCGCCTTCGGCTGTTGGTTTTCACCTCGGGGGCGCCTTCTACCATGGCAAACCACATTCGTAGGTTCGAGAAGTTCGAATTGTGGGCTCGGCACGTGCCGCTCCCCCTCTACCCCATCTCGGACGACAAGATCCTGAAGTATGCCATGGAGCTCGACTCAAGGGAGTGCGGCCCGACTGTTCTTCCTTCGCTCCGCATGGCTCTGAAATGGGTGGCTTTTCGGATTAACCTCAAGCTCCCTTCGATCGAGACAGCGGAGCTAAAGGCGCTCGAGAAGGAGATCTTCACACAGCGAGGGCGGCCGCTGAAGGAAGCGATCGCTTTCCCGCTCGAGCTGGTCCAGGCTATGGAGCGCTTTGTCGCTAACGAAGCTCACCCTGTGCCGGCTCGGGTGTTCCTCTGGTGGGTCCTCTGCATGATCTTCGCGTCGCTCCGCTTTGACGACGCGATCCATGTGAAGCCCCACGAGCTAGAGGTCAAGCCTGACGGTCTGTTCGGGATCTCCTGGCAGACCAAGACTGAGCGGAAGCGGCGCGGCACCAAGTTCATGGTCCCCGACGTTGCATTTTCTAAAGTGGCTTGGTTCAAGATCGGGAAGGACTTGTTCGAGTCGCAGTTCCCGCTCGTGGAACGCGACTTCTGGATCCCCGAGCTCGACACCAAGGAGCGCTGGCGCCAGACTCCCCCTGATTACGCTCGCTCTCTTCAGTGGCTCCACCACCTGGTTTGGCTCGCGGGGCAGGAGAGTGCGGTCGCGAGGGAGTTCCTGGACAAGGTCACCGATCTTACGTGGCACTCAGCTCGAGTAACTATGCTTGATCTGGCCGTCCATTGTGAACGATCGGAACAAGAGATCGGGGTTCAGGCGAACTGGAAGAACCCCGGCCGGCTCGTCCTCAAGTACACTCGCTCGAGGTCTTCTCTTCCAGCGAAAATGATCAAAGAGTTGGTGCAGGAGGTTTCGCGCGAGTTCGTGCCCCTCTGTGCTCAAGAGGATGACACGATCGAGGACGCAGAGGACAGGGATCTTTCATTGACTGAGTTCTTTGTCAAAGTCGCTGTCAAGGGCTCTAGTTACGACTATCGTTTTCATGTGTGTTCAGCAGACTCTGTGGAAGAGATCGCATGCAAACGCGCGATCACGCCCGAATTTACACACATCGGGTCTGTTCTGCCCGACCCTAAGCTCTTTTGCAAACTGTGCGCTAAGGCTCGGCCGGACGTGGCTCTCGCCTTTAAGGTCTAAAATTCTGTGCCGTGCTGCGCCTGCTCGCGCCTTGTCGCATTTGAGAAAACTCTGTTGAGCTTGCTCAAGCTTTGATTGAAGCTCTTTTGCGTTGTTCCGCCATGGTCGACCGCACGGTCTACCCGGACAAGGACAAGACGCCCGAGCTCGCCTTACGCCAGATCTTCGGACGGCAGAAGCTCCCCGAAAACTTATGCCTTCTCATGTCGAATAAAGGCATGCTCTCCGTCGAGCGTATGTCCATGCTCGGGGACTCCATCGCGTCGGTCAAGGCGACGCTCCGGGCTATCGTTGGAGACGACACGCAGTTCGGGGCCGATGGGCCGGCACAGGAGCTCTCGCTCACTCTCCTGACCGCGATCTGGAAGTCAGCCTCAGTTCTGCAAGAACACGTTGCCTCTCGACGGGCCAAGATGGAGGAGGATCCGTCCAAAATACCAGAGATTCCTGGTGAAGATCATGCTGAATTTCGTGAGCTCTTTGTCACTCAGCACCCCGACATCATTCTCACCTACATGCGCGAGCCGCACCGGAAGTTCGTCGAGCGGATCCACCGGGACTATATGGTCCATGGGGCGGTCGCGTTCTACGAGGTCGCTGAAATGCGCTCCCGCTCGGACCGCATGGTGCAAACACCTGGCTTCTCGAAAACTTCCGAGGATCTCCTCAAGGTGGTCCAGCTCGACAACAAGGTGGCGGTCGCCTCAGAGACGGAAGTCATGGATCGCCTCCACTCGTTCTTTGTGGCGCTCGAGTACCTCAACATCTGCGAGTTCACCTTCGACTCCGGTCCCCTCAAGTACCTCTCGGAGCTCGAGGAGTGGCGCCACGAGAATCGTGGTCTCGCCGTTCTTCTCGCCGCTGATTCCTTGATCAGGAAGAAGGTCTACAAGCTCAACAACGACAAGCGCAAGGAATTTCCTACGTTCTCTGAGGCTCTCTGCGAGGTCCTCAAGAACTACAAGCAGCTCTGGAACGACGCTCGTTCAACAGCTGAACTTGAAAAGTTCCGCCAGGTCGAGCACGAGTTCGCTACTCCTCCGAAGCGGCCTCGCTCGAGGTCCCCTCCGCCGACACCTCCGAAGAACGAGGCCAAGACTCGCAAGAATCGAGCTCGTCGGCAGAAGGAAAAGGAGTTGCTCAAGCAAGCTCGCGCAGAGCGCGATCGCGCTCGTGACCACGCTAAGCCGAACAAGCCTTCAGTGCCAAAGCTCACAGAGAAGGACAAGGTCGATCGCGACACCCGGGTTCCGGAGAAGGAGTGGAAGAAGATCATGTCCTTCTCTTATACTGGGGCTCGCCGCTGCCCATGGTTCAACTGCTCGCTCGGCTGTCGGTTTGGGGATCAATGCAAGAACAAGCATATCTGCGTGCAGTGCGGGGGTGATCACCCCTACCATGGCAATCACTGAGCTCTCGTGCCACCGCCGGGGGAGTTTGGTCGTCTCCCTCCGGCACCGGTGCTCGACAGACCACCGGGGGAGTTCTCTCCCCCCCCACTGCAGCAGCCTCTGGCTGCTAATGAGGTTTCTTCTCAGAGACTGACAGCTGCCCCTGCAGGTCGGCCGCCACCGTGGCTTCGTTGGGCTGAGGTGCCCCGGGATCCCGACACAATTCGTGAGCTCGGTCCCTGGTGCCTCGAGATCTTTGCCGGGTCTGCTGGCCTCACCGCCGCCTGGAAACGTCACGGTCTTAAGACTTTGCCGCCGATCGACAAGTGCACCTCCGAGTTCCTTCTGGAGTCGATCGACTTGCTGGACGCACAGGTCTTTGATTGGCTGCTCTTGCTGTGCCGCATGGGGGCGATCGTCTTTCTGCACTTGGGCATTCCCTGCGCCACGTTCAGCGTGGCTAGGGATCGGCCTGGAGGACCTCCCCCCCTGCGATCGCAGGCGCTCCCCCTTGGCCTCTATGTTCTCAAGAAGCACCATCAAGCACAGCTCTTCGAGGCCAATGAGCTCTTGTTCCGATCTCTTCTTCTTTTCGACGCTGTGGTTCAAGCTGGCGGAGATGCCTCGATCGAGAACCCGAAGGACAGTCTGATCTGGCAGGTCCCTCAGGTCCAGCAGCTCAAGGTTCGTCTTCACCTCTACAACGTCGATCTTGATCAGTGCGAGTATGGATCACCTCATCGCAAGCCTACTCGGCTTCTTGGCAGTCACGCTGCTCTTCTCGCTCTTGCACGTCCTTGTTCAGGTGGACATGTTCATGAGCCTCTTCGTGGCGTGACAAGGTCGGAGACTGGCAAGAAGATCTTCAAGACTAAAGCAGCTCAGGTCTACCCCTCGGCGCTTTGCACCGCGTGGGCGATCGCCGTGGCCGCGATCGTGCAGAAGTCGGCCCAGCAGTTCGCCGCTTCGTTTGCTCTCACGGCTCCGTCGGCAGAGCGCAAGCGATCTTTGGGATCCCAGATTGCTTGGAAAGGCCATCGCCAATCCGCTGCCGCTCGGCTGGCGGCGGCTAGCGGCTATCAGCTCAAACGAGGTGCCGCCAAGCCGCTGCTCGACGTCGAGTGTGAGCCAGGTCAGGCAATCCAGGGGTCTCTTCAGGTTCGGCACCCATTCACCGTGCAGCCGGCGCTCCCCGACAAGATCGTCGACAACATCAAGTTCATTGTCTCCTCCCCGCAGGCGCTCGTGGCTCGCCGTTCTGAGCGCCTTCAGTTCTGGCAACAGCGTGCGCTCACGCTGCTTCCAGAGACAGATCGGATTTTGCGGTCAATCGCCGACGCTCCTCTTCGTCGGCTTCTTCGCGGTGCTCCGGATTATGCTGATCTGCAGCTGGGCTCTTGCACTCACGTGGCGCTCTACGACGAGCTCTTCGCAGCGATCGGCTGCACGGATCATCAAATTCTCCAAGGCATTCGCGGTGGCTTCCCGATCGTTGGCGAAATCCAGCGCTCGGGGCGCTGGCCGCCGTTCACAAAGCCACAGCGGTCAGTGCCTGTGCAGGAAGCTCTGGATCGGGCCTGGGAGTTGCGAGCCAAGGTCTTTCGCAGATGCAGGTCGGTTCCCGTTTCTGACAATCTAAGGTCTCTTTGGAATGCCACGCTCGAGGACGTCAAGGAAGGCTCCACCTTGGGTCCTTTCGGATCCGAAGAGGAAGTCTCCAAGTTCTTGGAGTGTTCCGACTGGATCCCGACCCAACGTTTCGAAGTGGTTCAGAAAAACAAGGTCAGAGGCTGCGATAGTGCTACATCCAACTTGATCAACCAGACCGCGGTGATCACCGAGAAGTTGGAGCTCACCTCTACGGACTTGAACGTGGCGTGGCGGTTCTGCGCGAGCTCCGCACCAGAGGAGGCGATCGCCCGCTACGAGGATGGGTCCTTGACGAGCGGAAGGCCTATCGGCAGCTTCCGATCTTGCCGGAGCACAGGAAGTTCAGTGTGATCTGCCTGAAGGATCCTGGTGATGGCATTCCCAAGTTCTTTGTGATGATCGGACACTCCTTTGGTCTCGTGGCGGCGGTCTACAACTATAATCGCCGCTCGGCCCTGATCAACGATATTCTCGTCCGGCTGTTCAGCATGGTCGCCTTCAACTTTTACGACGACAAGTACGGGTTCGAGACCGATCTCACGGCGCCTTCGGCTAAGGTCGTGGCCGAGTGCATCCACTTCTGGCTCGGCGCTCTCTTCGACGAGAAGAAGCTCCAGCTCTCGGCGGCGCCTGTGATCTTGGGCGTGACTTTTAACCTTGAGCTCTTAGTTCTTGAGATCAAGGAGCAGAGGAAGCAAGAGCTCCTGGACTCGATCGACGCGATCTTGGAGGCGGGCACCTTGGATCCTGGGACCGCAGGCAAGCTCAAGGGCAAGCTCATGTTCGGAGCGAGCCAGCTCTGGGGGAAGGTTGGACGTGCGTTCTTCCGGCCCCTCTCGGAGCGCCAGTACTCGAAGGACAGGTCTAGCGATCGTATGGAGCTCAACCTGGCTCTAGAACGATCGCTCCGTTACTGGCGGAACCTCATCGTTCACGGCCCTCCGCGTGAGATCTCACTCCGCTCGGAGAAGAATGCCGATGTTGTGATCTTCACAGACGGCTTCACTCCAGACTTTCGGAAGTCGGAAGAAGGAGCCGATCGGATCGGAGCTGTGATGTTCGATCGGAGGGCCGATGCTCCCAAGCAGTTCACTGAGGTGATCCCACTCGAAGTATCGGACCGATGGCTCGCGAGGAAGACCCAGATCGTCCCGATCGAGATGATCGCGCCGATTCTGGCGCTCGAGACTTTCCGGGATCACGTGAAGAATAAGGACGTTCTCCTTCTGATTGACTCTGAGGCGGTCGAGGCTGCTCTAGTGAAAGGATACTCTTCAAAGGAAGATCTCTTTGAGCTCGTTGAAGTTTTCTGGGAATTGGCTCTTGAATATAAGGTCAACTTCTTTATCGATCGAGTTTCTACAGATGCCAACCCCGCAGACTGGCCATCGAGGGATCGCCTCGAGATTGGCCAAGCTGCTGGGTGGTCGACAGTTTTGTGCTCATGGCCAGCGAAGCTCCGCTAAAAGATCGATGCAGGGCCTGGGAGGTTGCTCGTATTTCGAACGAAGGGAATTTGTTCGAGATGCTCTCGCGTCTGGTGTCCCGGGAAGGGTTCGCCGGTTGCGGGTTCGAGAGACTGCGACGACGACGACTCCGTTCGTGGGTTGTCGTTGTCCTGGGGTGGGGGCCGGTCGTTTCTGATGCTCTTCGGTAGTTCTTCTTGTGACCGCTCAACCCCATGCTAGAGCGGATTAAACATTGCTCGTCCGCTCGGTGTGTGGCATGCTGTTCAGTGAGCTTGCGAGCGTTCGTGCGTGTAGTGTGGTTCTCCTATTATCGGCTAGGTAGGTCTGGAATAGGAGGGTCACACTACGGCATGAGATCAGCATGCTCTTTTGACTTTTGATCACCACGTTGATCCGTGGCCATTTTGGGTCGAGACGATCGTCTCGATCCGCGAAGGATCCTTTTGTCCCACCCAACCCGCCCTATTATGAGGTGGGAGGTTGCTCGTATTTCGAACGAAGGGAATTTGTTCGAGATGCTCTCGCGTCTGGTGTCCCGGGAAGGGTTCGCCGGTTGCGGGTTCGAGCGACTGCGACGACGACGACTCCGTTCGTGGGTTGTCGTTGTCCTGGGGTGGGGGCCGGTCGTTTCTGATGCTATTCGGTAGTTCTTCTTGTGACCGCTCAACCCCATGCTAGAGCGGATTAAACATTGCTCGTCCGCTCGGTGTGTGG